GGCCACCCCCCGTCCCCGAGGCCACCCCCCGTCCCCGGGACCACCCGCTGTCCCCGTCCCCACCCCCGTCCCCGGGTGTCCCCAACGTGCCGCCTCGCAGCAAGCCAACGGCAGCCGCGTCCACGTGCTCTACTCGACGCCCTCGTGCTACCTGTGGGCGCTGCATCGCGCCAACCTGTCCTGGTGAGCTGGGGACAGCGGGGCAGGCGCGGGACGCGGGGGACGCAGGGGACACGTGCCGGTGGCCGCGCAGGACTGTCAAGACGGACGACTTCTTCCCCTACTCGGACGGGCCGCACCAGTTCTGGACGGGCTACTTCACGAGCCGGCCGGCCCTCAAGCGCTACGAGCGGCTCAGCTACAGCTTCATGCAGGTGGCCCCGTCCCCTGTCCCCCGCTGTCCCCTCTGTGTCCCCTCGCGCCCCCGTGACGCCCCTTTTGTGTCCCTGTGCGCGTGGGACAGGTCTGCAACCAGCTGGAGGCCGTGGCGGCGCGGGCGGCGCGGGACGGCCCCTACGGACACGGCGACGGCTCCGTGCTCCGTGAGTGGCGGCGGGGGACACGGGGGACACGGGGGACACCGGGGTGACCGCGCCGGCGCGCTGTCCCCGCAGGCGAGGCGGTGGCCGTGGCGCAGCACCACGACGCCGTGAGCGGCACCGAGCGGCAGCACGTGGCCAACGACTACGCCAGGCAGCTGGCGGCCGGGTGGGCGGCCGGCCAGGTGAGGGGGACGTGGGGACGGGGTTGGGGACGTGGGGACGGGGTTGGGGACGGGGACGGGCCGCGCGGTGACCGTCCCGCGTCCCCAGGTGCTGCTCTCCAACGCGCTGGCCGCTCTCAGCGGCACCAAGGAGGACTTCGTCTTCTGCCACGGCCTCAACATCAGCGTGTGTCCCCTGACGGAGACGGCCGCGCGCGTAAGGGACCGCCCGCGGGGACGGAGGGGGACAGCGGGGACACCTGGTGACACTGTGGGCCCCCGGGGGTGCCACAGCAGGACCCCCCGTGTGACACCAGCCCGGCGCCGTGTCCCCGCAGTTCCTCGTGCTGCTCTACAACCCGCTGGGGCGCCGCGTGGCCTGGCCCGTGCGCCTGCCGGTGAACGGGGCCGCCTACGCGGTGACGGACCCATCGGGCCGGCCCGTGGCCAGCGAGGTGAGCCCGGCGCCGGGGCCCGCGCGGGGCCGCCCCCCGCCGCCCCCTCCTGCTGCCACCTCCCGGTCCCCAGGTCGTCCCCGTGTCCCCCTTCACGCGCCAGCTGCGGGGCGACCAGGGCAACGCCACCGGGGAGCTCCTCTTCCAAGCCTGGCTGCCCGCCGTGGGCTTTGGCACCTTCGCGGTGACGCAGCTGGAGCCCGGGGAGCGCCCGGTGTCCCCGGGCCGGCCCCGACGCCCCCCGCAGCTCCTGGAGATCYGCAATGAGGTACGGATCCCGCGGGAGCCGCCGGCCCCGCTCCGGGGCAGCCCCTCGCTCGGCCGGTCTCGCCTCCCGCCCCAGCGCTTTGGGGTGACCGGGACGGCGGGTGGCCCGTGTCACCCGTCGCCTCGTCCGCAGCATGTCCGGGTGCTCTTCGACCCCGTCACCGGGCTCCTCAAGGAGATCCAGAACCTGGACAAGGGCATCGCGCTCCCCGTCTCCCAGAGCTTCTTCTGGTGGGTGGGAGAGCAGAGCCGGACGCCCGGGCCCCCGGACGCCTGGGCCCCCTGGACACCCGGGCCCGCGGTGCCAGGGTGCCCCCTCGCCCCAGGTACAACGCGAGCACCGGGAACAACGACAACCAGCAGGCATCGGGCGCCTACATCTTCCGTCCCAACAGCTCGGAGCCCTTCCCGGTGTCGGGCTCCAAGCGGGTGCCCACGTACACRGTGAAGGTGGGTCGTGGGGCGGGGGCCGCCCCCGGGGGCCGTCCCCGCGCCGGCGGCACTGACGGCGGCGCCGCGTCCCCGCAGAACGCGCTRGTGCAGGAGCTCTACCAGAACTTCTCCTCGTGGTGCTCCCAGGTGGTCCGTGTCCACGCCGGGCAGCCCTTCGTGGAGCTCGAGTGGACCGTGGGGCCCGTGCCCGTGGCGTGAGTGCGAGGGGACGGTCCCCGAGGGCGGCGCGGCCGCCGGCGCCCCTCACGTCCCCCCGTCCCCTCCTAGGGACGGCTGGGGCAAGGAGGTCATCAGCCGCTTCGCGACGCCGCTGCGCACGGGCGCCCGCTTCTACACGGACTCCAACGGGCGCCAGATCCTGGAGCGCAGGTCCCGGTGCCGCCGCCGCCGCCCCGTGTCCGCGGGCCGGTCCCCTCCCCGTGACCCCCCTCTGTCCTTGTCACCGCCAGGCGCGACCACCGGCCCACGTGGAACCTGACCCAGACGGAGCCCGTGGCCGGCAATTACTATCCCGTCAACAGCCGCATCTACATCAAGGTGGCGGCCGCGGTGCCGCGCGCGGGCTGAGGCCGGCGCGCAGCTCGTGCCACGTGTGGCTTCCGCCCTAGGACGGGAAGCTGCAGCTGACGGTGCTCACGGACCGCTCGCAGGGCGGCAGCAGCCTCCGCGACGGCGCCCTGGAGCTCATG